TGGGAGTAGAGATCCTATGCTGGGTGTGGTGGTGCATGCCTTTAATCCCAGCACTTGGGAGGCAGAGGCAGGTGGCTCTCTATGAGTTCTAGGCCAGCCTGGTCTATATAGTGAGTTCCAGGCCGGCTGGGGCTACAGCGAGACCCTGTCTCAAAAAAGACCAAAACAGAAAAGGAAAAGCACTCCTTACTGTGTCCATACAGATCCTCCTGGTTCTATATGATCATGTGTCCTAGCTGGTTTTGTATTGCTAAAACAGAATACCTAAGACTGACTAACTTATAACGAGTAGATATTTAGCCAAATGTTATGGTTCACACCTATAATCCCAACACTTGGAAGGCTGAGGCAGAATTGCTGAAAATTCATTGCCAGCCTCAACTGCATAGTGAGTTCCAGGACAACCTTGGCTAGAGAGTGAGACTTTGCCTCCCTCCCTCCCTCCTTTCCTTCTTTCCTCCCTCCTTCCCTCCCGTCCATGGTGTTTATGGGGTGTGTATGGAAGCCAGAGGACAACTTTCCGGAGACTCTTCTCTCCACTTACCATGTGGGGCCTGGGATCAAACTTAGGTCCTCAGAATTGGCAGGAAGTGCCTTTATCAGCTGCGCCATCTCACTAGCCTCAGCTGCTCTCTGATTTAACAAAACAAAAGAACCCCCACTCCTTCTTTCTTTCTTTCTTTCTTTCTTTCTTTCTTTCTTTCTTTCTTAGAATAAATATTTTATTGTTTTTATTTTATGCGTATGAGTGTATTGCCTGCATGTAAGTGAGTTAACCTGTGTCATGCAGTGCCGCGGAGGTCAGAAGTCTTCAGATTCCCCTGGAACTAGAGTTAAGGACGGTTTGTAGCCACCATGTAGGTGCTGGGAGTTGAACCCGGGTCCTCTGCAAGAGCACAGTGCTCTTAACTGCTGAGCCATCTCTCCAGCCCCCACATTTATTTCTTATAGTGGAAACTGAAAGTCCAAATTTGTGGGGTCTATATTTCCATCTGGTGATGGCCTTCATGTTGCTTTGTCCCATGGGGAAGGGCTCAAGAGTACACAAGGAAGCAAGAGGAGGCCTGGCTCACTTTGACAACACACTTACTCAGTGACGTTAGCCAATGACCTCAGTGCATTGGGGATTAAGTTTTCAACACGGGCTCATTCAGATCATAGCCTCATCTTGATGGGAATAAGGACGGGAATGGGCATATAAGAATCTCCTAAAAGGTGTGAGATTTTTGTATTGATCAGTAGGCTTCATAAATTCAAAGGTTTATGGAGTAATTTAATGATAAACCTGAAGTGCTAGCTCAGAACCCTGTATATTAAGCACAAAACAGGCAGTTCTGAAGTCAAAGGGTAACCTTTTACTTCTTATGCATGATAAATGAATACAAAATTCTACTTCTAGGTCTCCTTGATATTTTTTTTTAAATAATATTTATGGGGGCTGGTGAGATGGTTCAGAAATTAAGAACCTGAGTTCAGTTCCCAGCATCCATGTCATCCATTTGGTGGCTAACAACTGTCTTTAACTCCAGTTCCAGGGGATCTGATGTCCTCTTCTAACCTCTGTGGACATTGCATGACACGGTGCACTTACATACTTGCAGAAAATACACTTGTAAAAATAAAAATGATAAAATATTTTAAAAAAATTTTTATTTCTAATTTGGGGTGTGTGTGTTTGTGAGACCTCAGAAGTGGGCATTGAATCCTCTGGAGCTGGGTTGCAGGCAGTTATGAGTTATCTAATGTGGGAACTGAACCCAGGTTCTCTGCAAGAGCAGCAAGTACTCTTAACTGCTGAGTCATCTCTCCTTGGTTTTGCTTATGTATAGTGTTAGATGAGTTAGATGGCTGCCTGTCTGTCTACCTACTTACCTACCTATTTATTTATCTTTCTAAAGCAGGCCTCTATTATTGCCCGTATTTATACTGGCACACTGTAAGCATAAATTCAGAAATTCTTGTTTTACTTACTCTGTTTTCTTTCATAGGAATTCCAAAAAGGAACTGAATGATATTCGATTTGAATTTACTCCTGGGAGAGGTATTTAAAAAAAAAAAAAAGAAATGAAAATAATAATTTGTTATTTAGTTAAAAATGAGCCTTTTGTCATTTAGGTAAGGTTTGCTTTTAAATGATGATTAAACTTTGCTGGTATACATTTTGGGGTACATATTTTTTAAAAGCCCCACCATTTACTTACTACTACATTCATTTAGAAAACTGACGGTAATAAAACAAATAGTAATGAATATAGTTCTACTAGTAAATGCCTACTGTTGGCCATGCATTCATTATGCTAAGCATTATCTCATTAAATTCTTGAAACAGCTGCCTAAGGAAAAATTATTCCCATTTACTAGAGGTTGAAATTAAGGGTTAGAGAGAGGCAGAGTAACTTGTTCATATAGCTGGGACAGAGGTGGTTGAGTTCAGTTCTTTTGGAGTTCAAAGTTATTGCTCTTATCACTGTGCATGCTTGTTCTCTGTGACAGTCAAGAAGAAACAAGGCCTCTAGCCCCCTTTCTCTCATGCCAAGGCTGAACCTTGTCATGCTCTGTTTACTTCACCCTAGAACAAGGCTTTCTTTTTTTCTTGCCTTTGTTAACTCAGGATTCTGATTTGAGGAATTGGCGACTAGTATCTGTTGGTAGGTTCCACAGATACTTTTCCTGCAGCCTCCGTATATAACTATTAAAGAGAGTGGATACAAATACACAGAGGGGTGTATGGTTTCCTTTTTAGAGCAGGTAAAGTCACATTTTAGAACCCTTAATTGCCTACCCCCTCTGCACTGGTTCTGTAGTGTCTTCTGTGGGGCTCCAGTGTTTGGAAACTAGTACTGTTGGATTAAAGATGGGATTGGATCAGGGATAGTTTGTCTCATGTTTGGTTTCTGGTTATATCTGCTGTTTATATTGTACCACCTGTGATGACCAGGCAAGGAAACCACCAGAACAAAGAAGAACGTTATTTTAGCAAACTTGCATGATTCCCAAAGACATGAGATCTCAAGTTGCTTTATCAAGTTTTGAGAATAGATTTCTGTATTAGTAGCAGTGAATTTTATGTCTCAAAGCTCAGCTCAAGTCTAGGGTTATATTAAAAAAATCAGAATTTGGGGCTGGAGAGATGGCTTAATGGTTAAAAGCACTGGCTACTCTTGCAGAGGACCCAGGTTCGGTCCCCAGCACCTCTGTGGTGGCTAACAACTGTCTGTAACTCCAGTTCCAGGGGACCCAATACCCTCTTCTGATCTGTGGGCATTGCACAGTACAGGTGCACTTATATACATGCAGGTGATACACTCATACACATAAATTTTTTTAAATTATAAAACAATCAGGATTTATTGTCATCACTGTAGGGAATTCTTCTGACATGGCTGTGAGCTTTTGGCATTACACAGTTCAGATAATCATCTCTACTTTAAGCTGATATTTGAAATGAAGTTCATAGAGATTCTGCCCCCTGGCCAGACCCAAAAGAATTCTCCCCTTGAGATAATCTCCAATAAAGGATGCAAAGGATAACCCCAACTGCCTTCTTGATTCTGTAGATTTAGTAGCTAGCTTGGTTCCGGAAATGCTGCGACCCATGCTGGCTCTAGGAGTTAGTCATAAGAACACAAGAAATGGAGCACCTTATTTTTTGTCCTTGCAGATACAGCGGAGGGTGTCTCTCAGGAGCTCATTTCTGCTGGCCTGGTCGATGGAAGGGATTTAGTAATAGGTAACAACTTTACTCTGTCTTTAAAGCTCTCATGTCTCCATGTATGTATGTAGTATCTGGAAAACCAGCTTTTTTTCAGTGAGTAGATCTGATGGTCCTTGAAGTACTTCATAGCTTCATTAAAATTACAGGTATTGAGGACAGTTCCTTACCAAAAAAACAAAAGTCCTGTCTGACTTCTGGGTTTGCTTTGTGACCTCTGCTGGTGTTAGATGAAAACACACTCAAGTCTCTGGGACACTAGTAGAAATGATAGCCAAAGTCAAAAATTAATGGAAGCATTGTCATTTCTGATCTTTGCTCACATAACAGTCTTTGTTGAACACAAAACTGAGCAGAATAAAGATTTAGTCCTAGAAAAAGCAAGTAAGACATAGGCCACTGATACATAGTACTGATGGGAAAAGCCATCAGTTTGGGTGTGTCACCAGTATTTTCCTGTGAGACACTAGATAGTAGATAGTATAAACTTTGTAGGCCGTGTGTACTCTTTTGTTGTTGTTTTGAAATAGAGTGTTGTTCTGGAGCCAAGTTAGGCCTGGAACTCTCAGTCTTCCTGCCACAGCCTGCCAAGTACTAGAATTACAGGTGTGCATCACCACGCTTAGTGCTAGAATTACAGGTGTGCATCACCACGCTTACGGTTGGTTTTTTGTTGTTTGTTTTTCTGTCTTTTTAAGACAGGGTCTCCCTGTAGCCCTAGCTGGCTGAGAACTCTCTATGGACACCAGGCTGGCCTCGAACTCACAGAGATCCACCTGCCTCTGACTCCTGAGTGCTGGGATTAGAGGTGTGTACCACCACACCCGGCCCAAACAAGGGATATTTATAAAATAATGAGCCTAAATGCCTTAAAAGTACCATTGGTGGCATGGTGGTATGATGTAGCATGTGACCTCTTAGTGGTACAGCCTGGACAGGTGCAGAGGCTGGTAGGCAGAAATTTTTTAAATTTTTTAATTGAATTTTTGTGAATTTCATGTATTTTGATCATACTTAGATTCTCCTCCTATCTGCACCCCCTTACAACATCCCACCCAATTTCATGTACATATATAGTACATATATAATACATATATATACATATATGCATATGTATGTGTGTGTGTGTGTGCATGCGCATGCACGTGTGTGTGTGTGTGTGTGTGTGTGTGTGTGTGTGTGTGTGGGCATATACACA